CCTTCGCCAAGGAGCTGTTCCTCGGCACCCTGCGCAAGGTGGGTCCGCGGGGATGGGGGCGGCGATGGGGCCGACCCGGGGGCCCTTTCACCGACGGACAGCGGGGAGGCCGCGGTGGGGCTGGCACAGGCTGGGCGCATCTCCCGCCCGGGCTCGTCACCAGCACACCCAGGGCCTTTTGCAACCGCTCATGCCCAACCTGGGGCCGCGGGGCTTGGTGCGAGCCCACGGCAGGAGCCGGCCCGCGGCCTGGTTGTCCCGTAGTTCCCGGGTCCAGCTGGCGCAGGGGCCCTCAGCGGGAGCCGTGCCAGCTGAAGTGACCCCTTGCACGCCGTGGAGCTCTCAATATAACCTAAGCTAAGCCACAGCCCCCTGTGCTTGGCAGCCCCACAATTTATGTGGTGGGGGTTTTTTTTTCCAGTTGAATAACCAGTTTGGAAGAAACTTCCCAGATCATCGAATCCAACCCATGCCCTAACACCACAACTAGACTATGGCAGCGAGTGCCACATCCAATCTTTTTTTAAACACATCCAGGGATGGTGACTCCACCACCTCCTCGGGCAGACCATTCCAGTACTTTATCACTCTTTCTATAAAAAATTTCTTCCTAATATCCAACCTGTATTTCCTTTGGTGCAGTTTGAGACTGTGTCTTCTCGTAGACGCATCTCACACAAATTCCCTCTGCAAACATGTCCTTCTGCAGCACTCTCTGGGTATGCCACAAACTTGTATCACTTTATTTGCTGTTTTTACTTAAAAGGTCGAGACTTTGTGTAAATTTCTGCCTACAGTTTTGATAGGAAAGATTGAAATTCTGGTCATGCTTTGAGATGCCACAGGACAAAGAACTTAAAATCTGAGCTAGAACACTGTATTAAGCAGTTTGTTAATGCAAGGCTTAGAGTGTGCATTCATCAGAGGTTGCAGGGTGAAGGAAACTGAAAGAAGGAATAACTGAAATCCACTTGAAATGAGTTGAGCACTAAAGTCTCCTGCAACAGAGCTTGTCAGGTAAAGTGTTACAACAGATAGTACTCAGGCTCCACTGTGTTAAATCCTTCTTCAAATATGTCTGGGATGTTCTTTCTCTCAAATTTCAGTACAACAGCTTTCTGAAAACCTCTAGCATTTCCCAGGTCCTGAATTTTTGATGCTGATATTATTGCTCAGGGTATCAGGAACAGATTTGTGTGGACACAGATAAATTCTTCTGTTTAAAAGGGGCGAGGCAGTAAAAAATTAGCAGTGTGCTTCTAACACAGCTTCCAACTTTGTGTGTTCCTTGCTTGGATTTTTTATCAATTCAAAGCTGTCGGGCCATGCTGCTCCCAGTTTATGGCCAGAAAATCCTGGTGATGATAAGGAGTGGTGGGACTCACTCCCCTTTTTTCTCCAGGCATTAACAGGTGAAGCATGCTGGGTGTTTTCAAGGGACAATGTTCATGGACTCTGGAAACATTGGAACAGTTCATTGATTTTGACACAAACTCATTTTTTATCAATCCCTAAATAGGGTTACACTGACAAAGCTCATGAGTGGTGAAGGATTTTTGCAAACTTCTAATTCTTAAAAAATCTCTTGATTTCTCCTTAATATTTCTGTTGTTCAGGTAGCGCCCTCTGGTCTGTTTTTGCTGTGTTGAGTCCTATAGAGCTCTGTTTTTGTTTTGGAATATTTTCCACAATTCTTAATTTGCACGTTTTTTTAGAGTCTTTGCAAGGCGTATCTCCCATAATTTTTACTTCAGCTGCATGATTCATGTATTAAAAATTCTTAAATAATTCTCCTATTTTAGGAAGAAGTTTTTCCTTACCCAGAAATTAGTAATGAAGAACTGGCAGAGATCAACCAGTTTGTGGGACCTGTCGAAAAGTTCTTCAATGAAGAAGGTATATTATTATGTGTTTATCCATACAAGTGATTTGGTGATTACAAAAGTATTTAGTTATAGCAGTTGAATAAGATTATTATACTTAAAACATTTAATTCATTTTATGCATTTATTGCTGCTCACACAGTGATGCTGATTCTGTAGCATGTTCATTTAGGGCTTTTTTGGGGAGTATTTGGCTGCTGAAGAATTAAATCTCCAAAACATTAAGAAAACCAAGGATGTAGAAGTATTCTGGGATAAAGATAGGATTTGAAGTTGATTTTAGCTCAGCTGAATTGTGCTTTTTACCACTTCATATATTGTGATTTTTTTTTCCTATAGCTTTTTATCTGTCCTACTCTGCTAAAACTGACGATGGCAAAATGCAACACAGATATTCAGACATGATGGTTCATTGAGGAGTTATGAAAAATCAAAACCATTTCTATTTTTCAGCATTAGAGTAATAATTCTGTTTGGGAAAGGCCTTACTCCCCTGCATTTGAGAGGGCATTGCAGGGTGTTCCTTCCATTAGTGCTGCCATGGATAAGCCAATTCCAGAACAACTGCAGAATATTGGTTTGCACGGACAGCAATTTCTGAGGCAGTTAAACAGCATTGTCTCAGACTTCCCATTGACAGAGATCCCAGCCCTGGTTTTCCAAAGACTGTAGGACTTTGGAGAAGCCAGTGATTGCTACATGTCACAATTTGTGAGATCCAGGTGATTTTAACTGTAAAATTGTAGTGTTGCTCACCAACAGTAAATAAATAATTTATTCAAATTATATTTTTTAGTTCTTTGCTCTCTGGGGGAACATAATTTATGGAGTAAACAACCTGATGTTTAGGGGAGGAATAAAAGGGTCAAATAATAGTGTGTGGAGAAAGTATGATTTCTGTTTGTTTTCACTACCATGGTACAGAACAGCTCTTTTAATCCCCCAAGAATCTAAAAACTCTGAAGAACAAGATTCCTCATTTATGTACATTTTTTTTGCTTGTATTCACAACCTAGAACTTGGTTCAGATGGAAAATTCTGGAAATACTTTGCTTATTCTAGTCTTGGAATGTGCTGGCATGCAGAACCAGTAGAAATGTTTGAGAAATTTTCTCAAATTTCTCAAATGAGCATTTTCTCAAATGCTGGGTTTTTCCCAGTTCCAAGTCTTTTTCCTGAATATGTCGTGAGGACAACCAGGAAAGTCAGGCTGAAGCTAGAAAGAAGAAATTCTTGTGAAGCTGGGGATGAGAAGTCTCATCAGTGACCTTGGCCCTGCTGGGGGAATCCTGCAGTCTCACGGCTAGGCACTGAGAAACACAGTGTTAAATGAGAAAAATTTCTGTATTTGTAGTAGACTCAAAGAAAATCGATCAAGATGCAAAAATCCCCTCTGAAACCTTACAAGGACTGAAGGACCTGGGTCTCTTTGGCATGCAGATTCCAGAGGAATATGGTGAGTAAATGTCACAGAAGAACAACCCAGTGCATTTAGGGGTGCATTTTGTGTCACTTTTCTAGCTCTCCAATTAAAGCTCTTGCATTCCTGTATTTCTGTACTTGAAATGGATTTTTTTGGGGGGAAAGGGGCATGTTAAACATATTAAAATAAAATCTGGTGCCTGTTCCAGGTGGGCTAGGCCTGTCAAACACCATGTATGCACGTTTGGGAGAAATCACATCCCTGGATGGCTCCATTGCAGTGACCCTGGCAGCTCATCAGGCCATTGGGCTGAAGGTAATGCTGCTGCTCTAGGGCCAGTATTTCTGAAAAAATTGCATGGAAAAGGTGGAGTGAAAAATGTGGAGCTTGAAGGGAGAAAATCAGAACTACTGGGGAAGCCTAAATCAGGTTTGTGGTGTCCCCAGCAGCCTCTGGTTCAGTGTAAGATGGAAAAGCTGGATAGGAGGTACACAAGAAATTTACTATTAGGATAATTATTCTTAGAAAAACTACTTTAAAGAATCCCAAGTTGTTATTTTTTGTTGTGGTTTTTTTTTTTTTTTTAAACCGAAGCTGTTTAAAGTAGCTAGAATAAATAGAATTGAAATAAACAGAGGGTCAGGGGGCTCAGGTGATGAGGAAGGAAAGAATTCAGAAGAAAGCAACGCTGGCTGGCTGGGGCTGCGTGTTTGGTAGCCTAGAGGAGAAAATTCATCTGAGAGCAAGTGTGTCAATTTTGAGCTTTTATCCACCTATTGGTATTTACCTTTTAGTGGTGGATGGATGGCAGAAAGATGATTGAAACCACACTTAGTTTATTATAGCAAGAGAAAATTGAGCAGACGATGCTAATAAAAAGTATTTTAATATCCGGTAAATAATACAGTCTTTTGTTTATTAAACTGTCTCTTACTGTGCCACAAAACTTGCAAATGAAGCTTTCTGAACATGCTGAAGCTTGTCAGCTCCCTCTCTTCCCACAGGGTGGTGCTGCAAAGTTTTCTGTGCTTGTTTCTGCAGGGGATCCTCATTGCTGGCACTGAGAAGCAGAAGGCCAAGTACCTGCCCCGCCTGGCCTCGGGGGAGCACATTGCTGCCTTCTGCCTCACCGAGCCTGGCAGGTGCTGCTGCCCCCACAGATCCAGCTGGAGTTCTGCTTTATCTGCATTGCTTAATAGCGTAAATCTTCATTATTTGGGGCCTGTGGCTTCAATATACAAATCTGTGGTGTATTTTTAGTTTTTAAAGGAACTTTACAAAAAAGCTCCAGACTGTGTTACTCTTTCCCAATGTGCTGCTTTTGACAGTGTCCATTAAATACCTGACTCTTGTTGTTCCCATCCCAGGAATTCATTTACTTAATTTCTTCCATAAATTGAAAGGATGCTTTGTGCTACATCAGAAATAATGTGCTGTGACTGTTCTAGAATGCTTTCAGTTCTTCGTCAAATATTGCAAAATATTGCCTGCATTGAAGGCCAAAATTTACCAAAACTAAAAGGAAGAATTTTGGGTGCTACTTAAGTGACAAGCTCATTGTGTCTTCACATAGCTCAAAGTGTAGCTCCAAAAAGTTGCTTTTGTGGCATTCTGCGCCTTCTGGTCAGGTTGTAACGCTGATAACATAGCAATGAGCAGAATTGTCCCCTCAGGTAATTTTCAGAGCTGTTCAATTTAGTGAGCTTCCTTGTTAGTTAAAAGCTAAAATTGATACACTGCTATTTAAGAACCCCTCCTTTTTAAAGGATGGGAAGAGAGAGAATATGCAGTTTTGGTTTTTTAAAGCATGTTTATTTCTTTAAGCATTATTAACTTGTTTGTTTCCTAGTGGGAGTGATGCTGCATCCATCCAGACAAGAGCAACCCTGTGTGAAGATGGGAAACACTTCCTGTTAAATGGCTCCAAGGTACTGTCCTAGGGTGACAGGTACCTACTTACAGACTGGGAATGGGAAAGGCTTTTGTTACAAGTGTAGGAAGTGTCCTTGACTTTTGCATCAGTCTGGAATTGTGTGGTTTCCAACCTAGAGGAGAATGACCATGTCAGAAAGATACCCCTTGGTTTAGGCACAAAGACAATAGAACATTATTGTTAGGGAATCACTGCATTAAAGTCCTGGTAAGAAAAATAGAAAACCACTCCAGGTTCCTTCTCTAATCACCCATTTGTGTGTTCAACTTCAGGGAGGGTTGGTTAGTTAGTAAATCAGCCCCCTTCCTGACAGTTTAGGTAAAAGAAAACCTAAACCTGTATTTTGTCATCATTCTTCAGGCTAGATTTTAAAAGAAAACTTGATACTTAATTAGAAATAGGACTGCTTGGAACCTTTCTTGTAAAAGAAAGTGTCAAAAGCCAGTCTTGAGGAAATTAGAGATGTTCTGGGTTCAGCAGTACTGGATGCGTTGCAGACTTGACCTGTATTGTTGATCCATTTGTGGTGCGAAGGGGCCCACCCTGGGGGAGAGGCTGATGAGGGAATTTCTCATCAGAGTTAATTTTTGGTCACAGGGTTTGTCCAGTCTGCATTGACCCTGTATCTCTCACATGCCATTAGCAGGAGGATGTACTAGCTTTTGTAGGAATGCAATGTGGATTTTCATTTAATGCATATTGTACTACATTCTGGTTTTACAGTTGCTCTAAACTTACCATGTGTGGTCAGCTCTCCTCAGAAATGTGCTCACACTGGAAGCAGACACTCATTAGAACTGAAGGGAAGGAGCAGCAATTTTTCAGCACTCTGTTCAGCAGCCTGTTACAAAACCCTTGAGAACTGTGCTCATAAAATCAGCACAGTTTTATTTCTTACACATCTTCCCTCTCTCAAAACAGGTCTGGATCTCCAATGGTGGCCTGGCAAGTATTTTTACAGTGTTTGCCAGGACAGAGGTTGTGGACAAGGATGGGCAGGTGAAGGATAAAATCACTGCTTTCATCGTGGAGCGGGACTTTGGGGGTGTCACCCATGGGAAGCCCGAGGATAAATTAGGCATTCGAGGCTCCAACAGTAAGAATCACCTAAAACTGTTAGCAGAAATTGTCTTAATAGTTCAATGTTTTATTTTGGTTGAATCATCTGAATTCAGAGGCAAATCAATACTTATTCCATGTTACAGTACAAGTTTCATGTTTCTTTAGCTGGTTTTTCCTAGGAGTCCTTCATGATGCATGGTCTGAAATAACAAATCCATTTTGTGGAGTTCATTCACTGTGCAGTGAAAGACATCACTCAGGAGATTGAGTGGCCAATAGGTTTAATCTAGAAGTCCACTTTCACCAGCTCTTCTAAGCTTTTTAATGATTGCAGCTTTTCACTGTGTTGGTGGCTGTTCAATCAGTTCCTTAGAACTAAAAATAAAGACGAAACTGTAGTTCTCTGTTTCCACAGTGTACATTCATAACATTTAAAATATTTTATATCAGTAATTGATGTCAACTACAGCCTTTTCCCAAATTCTCACTTCTTTGGCAAAGCATGTGTAATTCTGTCATAAACAATGCGTTAAGAAGACTGCATTTCTTGCTACATATAATGATTTAAGTTCCTGAATGTCTTCTAAATATTTTTGTGTCATATATGATTAAGTGCTAATTCTGTGTTTCAGCCTGTGAAGTACATTTTGAGAACACCAAAGTGCCTATAGAGAATGTAATTGGAGAAGTTGGAGGGGGATTTAAGGTAAGCAGTGAAGGATAACTACTGGTGATTTTTAAAAGCCTGAAGGAGACTGTTTTGCCCCTTTACTGCAGTTTCCTCATGGATGGTGTAAGCACTACCACACTGCACAGTGCTGGAGGACTGGTGTCACTGGACACTGCACAGTGTGCGATCACTTCAGATTTCTGTGTGTTTCTTCTTCTTGGGCTTTTGGTTGTTTTTCATGGGGTCCCCTCAGAAAAGGGAGTGATTTCAGCTGCCCTTCTGACCTGAATGTGACACATGTCATCTGCTGGTTCCTCCAGCAGAATGTGGAAAGGGAGACAGAGGAATGAGTATCACAGGCAATTGCTGGAGGCAAGCCCAGGCCCAAGGTGCCATGGCTGTCAGGTGCTTCTCCAGGGCTGGATTCTTGCACAAGGAAATGCTGGCAGGACCCCAGGAAAGATACCACAGGTGGCCTTGCTATGTAACCTTTCTCTGAGAGTGAGACCTTGAGATTGCCCAAGCTGCTTCTTACTCCTTCTCCACTTCTTACTCCTGCTATAGCAGGCAAGTCTAGGCCTAAATGCTAAATTAAATAATCTTCCTTAATGTAATGGAGATTAAAAGAAGATTTTTGTGGTCTTCCTGACAAGTTAAAACGTAGGACAGTGACTTCTTTCTGAACAGGCTTTGACCTGAGTCACCCATGTTGAGAAACAACACCAGAGTCCAAAATCTATTTTTGTGCATTATTGGTCTTGTATTTCATTTCTACACCTCCATTCTTGTTCCTTTCTGTGGTGTGCTGATGCAAGGAATCTGAGGCAGAGAGCAAGCATCTCAGGTCAACTGCAGGGAGAAATATTGTGGTTTTCTTCCTCATCTGCTAAACTGGAGCAGTGCTGACTAGCTGGAATGTTGTTTACCAGCTGCAGATAAATACATTTTTATCTACACTTTACCTTCTTATAATTAGAATAGAGATTATTTCCTATATCATCTGCTTCAGATATAAAATTGGATGTAATGGGTGGCAGGAAATAGCCAGTTTTGAAGCATTTTCCTTGGGATGCTGAGAGCTGTGGTGGCTGATGTGAGGGCACTTCCCAGGACTGGAAGTATGTCCTAGTGAAGAGTGAAATCCAGGGAATACTGAAGCAGGAAACAGTGACCAGCATGGCCTAAGGAAGATGTGGCCTAAACCCCATCTTTTCTTCACAGGTTGCCATGAATATCCTCAACAGTGGAAGATTTAGCATGGGCAGTGCATCTGCTGGAATGATTAAGAAGTTGATAGGTGGGTGAATTGGGTGCTCTGGATGGCTGGGTGCCAGCAGAAACAGCTCTGACTGAGACAGATAATGCAGTACACGCAGAGTGGGAACAGGAGTCTTGATCTTGTCGTAACATGCTTTGACATCTTTGAAACACTAAAATACGATTCTGAAAAATAGTTATTAAAAGCCTGTTTGCAAAGGTTTTGAAATAAAGATTCTTTTCCTTTCATACAGTGTAGGTTCAGTTCATGGAGTGGGAGGTTATTGCTTCTGTTGGACTTCCCTGAGGAAAAAATGTTCTTCCCAAAAAAAACCTCTGTACTATTGCTTTTAGAAGGTGTAATCTCCCCTAGAACCTGAATAACTGGCTCAATGCTACACACAGTAATTAGGAATAAAACTGTTTTCTGCCAATAATTAGCCAAAACAGTAACAGAAGTCTCTCTAATCAATTAGTACCAAAACTGATTACTTCTCTAAGAGTACAGTTCACACCTCTGGTTCAAAAGTCTTTAACAGGCTGGTCCCAGACTTGATCAACACCATGAGTTTTTCACAAAGTGCTGCTTTTGGAGCAGCCAGGGGTTTCCTGGCCATAGACTGCAGTGTCACCATCCAGGGAAAGACACCAGCAGCAGGAATGTCACAGCCCTTCTGAGCTGGATTTGTTTTTCTTTTTTTAAAGAACTGACATCAGAGTATGCTTGTACCAGGAAACAATTCAATAAGAAACTCAGCCAATTTGGATTAATTCAGGTAACAAAAACCTAAACACCTAAATCTCTGTGCTAAGTGCCAGGACATAGCTTGTATTGGGGTTATTTTGGCTGTACTGGTTTAAAGGATTTGCTAGAAATTTGTGTGAACCTGGGACCTGTTGTACACTAATCTTTCAAATGTCTAGAATGATAAATATGTATAAAATATGTAAAAACTATGTAAATGTAAAAAAAAGTAAATATGTATAAAAGTATGTTTTATTCATTGTTGTTTTGAAGTGGTACTTTTTACTGATTAATTTGATAATGTTAAACATATAAAAACTGCAGATTTTTTTAAGTTTGTGGGTTGACTATGGACTTTTGCATCTGAATTTCTGTATGATTCCTCATGTTGCTGCCTGGCAGGAGAAATTTTGTTTAATGGCTGTCAAAGCCTATGTGATGGAGAGCATGGCTTACCTGACTGCAGGGATGATGGACAGGCCAGGCTTCCCTGACTGCTCCGTGGAGGCTGCCATGGTCAAGGTAAGCAGTGCTGGGGAAGGGCTCTGTGTTCAGTCTGCAGAGGGCTGAGAGCTCAGCGCATTTAGACAGGTGAGAGAAGCACTGCAGCCAGGTGAAATCGTAGATACTGTTCTGTCTGAACCCCACAAGCTCAGACTCGTATGAAATAAAACCTCCAGAGAGCAGGTTGGGAATATCACAGCCCTCCTGAGCTGGGGTCTGAGGAGGCCTCATTTGAGCACACGGACACTCAGTTAACACCTCAGCTTCCAGCCTGGCCAGGCTGCTGCTGTGCCAGCTTTCCCAGGGAACTGGTGGCAGAACAAACCCTGTGGAACATCCAGGCTCTGGCTGCCAGGGTGTCCCTTATGCTGTGGTCACTGCAGAAAACTCCTGTTCTGGGCTCCAGCCAAGCAACCACAGCTGCTCTGCCCGTGTGGAGCTGCCCCTTTCCCTTGAATGTGCCCTTTTGAAGACTGCTTTGTGCATTGCAACGACACAGTTTGAGTTTGACTAAACCCCCTGAGCCACAAGGACACTTTTCCAGGAGAGTTTACAGGACAGGTGTAACACACAGAAAATACTGCAGCAGTGTGCTGTAGGTACAACCCCAGAGCTGAGCATGCTGTGTTTACTGCTGATTTGTTATCTATTCACTGGTGATTAAACCCTGTTCCATGGCAGGTGTTCAGCTCTGAAGGGGCCTGGGCATGTGTGAGTGAGGCTCTGCAGATCCTTGGAGGCCTTGGCTACATGAAGGATTATCCCTATGAGCGCTACCTAAGGGACACCAGGATCCTGCTCATCTTCGAGGCAAGTACCAGGATCCCATTTTTACTGCAAACTGCACTTGACACATTTTATAAAGGTGAGGTTTGATTGACCAGGACTTCGTTCCTTCAACTGCAAAGTCTGTTACAGAGTAAAACTGCAGGACTAACCTTGTTTTCTTTGGAATATCAATAGTAGCTCCCCATAATAAAATAATGGCTTTTATAGACTGACCACAGTGTGAGTTACAGCAGTAACTTTCTTCCTGTGTGCTTCTCATAAGTGAAGTAAGGGGAACTCACAAAAGATCAACTTAGAAGTTTAATTAACTTACTGCTGGGGATCTATAGTCAAGGAAAGGTTGTTTCTGAAACTTGTTCTCTTTCCAAGCTGGATCGTCAGTGACGCATCACGTGCTCATCAGAGTAACTGCCAGACTTGATTTTAACTCAGCTCATGTTGAGCAGTTCTACAGCTATTTAAAGGCTCCTTTACTGGAATGGGGCAGAACTTTTTTCACTCAAAATGCATTTAGTCTTGTTTCTTTTACATTGTGATACATTTGTGTGTTTAATAATGAGGGGCTTGACTTCTGCAACACCCCATGAAATCAGAATTAAAACAGATAAAGCAAAAGGCAGCAATTTATGGGTGGGGAGAGTCATAATGTGATACTCTCCCACAGTGAACAGGAACAGTGGGAAGGGCACAACAGACCTGCTTGGAAAACACTTAGTACTGTAAACTCTGGTTACCCACTTGTCTCACTTCTGTTTTTTTCCAGGGAACCAATGAAATTCTGAGAATGTACATTGCACTGACAGGGATGCAGCATGCAGGGAAGATCTTAACTGACAAAATTAAGTATGTTCTTATTTATTGTTAATAGTTTTTAATAAACTAAACAGAATCTGATAACATTATAGATAAGAGAAGAAACTGTAGGGAAAACCACTATTTTCTGTTCATTGCCTGTAAAAGTTCAGTGTTACAGGGGCTCTTCATCTTCTAATGGGATTGTTCATAGATTTAAGAATTGTAGCATTTAACACATTTTATCTTAGACTTTTACACAAACTATAATTATTTTTTTCAAGACCAATAATGAATATTTTGTATCTGAATTGAGTTGTATTGGCACAACAGCTGCATTGTGCGTATTGCATACCGGTTTCTGGAATTCTTTGTGGGTGTCTTGGAGAGCAGCTGATGACTCTGAAGGCGCCACAGTTGTTCTCCAGACTTCACAGTAAAATGGATTGAGACTTGGTAATTCGTGGACAAACTGCAGGCATTCTGCTAAAGTATTTGGAATTACAACTGGTTATGTCTGAACCTCCTGGAATTTCCTTAACAGCCGTTTTTTCCCCAACATTTCAGTGCAATCAAGAAAGGAAACATGGGAGTGGCCCTGGGGGAGTTCCTGACCAGGTTACAGGACACCCTGGGCAGGAAGGTGGATCTGGGGCTTGTAGGTGACCGTGGGGTGGTGCATCCCAGCCTCCAGGTAAGGGCCTCAGTGCTGAGATTTCGTGTTTGTTCTTTTTGCTGCTTGCCACATCTTAATCCCCTGGTTTTGCAACCAAAATGTGTTCTTAGGAGCAGTGAGATTTTCCAGTGTAAGCAGATGTTGGCAACATGTCAGGGTAAGAAGTTACAGTTATTGTGCAGGTATCAAGGGAAGATGAGGGCTGCTCTAACCCTGTGTTTACACCAAATCTAGATTTCGGTCCATTTCGATAATTTGTATAAATTGGGACTTCACTATATTAAAGTGTCTGAAATTAGCTGCCCTTTGTTGTAAGATCAATTACAAAACATAGGAGTTTTTCCTGTTTAATTGTAACAGAGTTTCAGGTAAGAATTTCTGGGAATTGCACCTACACCTAGTTGCTTAATCACTTAGGAAAAAAGGTTTTAGCACCAAAACTGAATGTTTTCTTAATAGCAAAAAGATAAAGTACATTTTTCATGGGATGTTCTCTTAGTTACTTTTGTCAGCATAAGCCTATACTGAAAGTTACTGAGACTAAACTCCAGAAAATTTTAATGCATGTTTGAGAGAAAGAATAGTGGCTTTCTGGCTTTCAGTAGCAAAGTGGATGAATGTTAAAAAAGAGAAAATCCAGCATCCTGTTTGAAGTGGGTGCGGGTATGTTGCTTTTCTTTTATAAAACCACTCAAATTGTTATTTTTTCTCTTTTGTTTTATAGGAGAGTGCCAAGAAACTTGAAGAAAACGTTTATTATTTTGGAACTACAGTCAGGGGCCTGCTAAGTAGGTTTGGCAAGGTAACTATTTGTTTTGTCTGTTGTCCCCGTTCCTGAATAGTTTATCCTTGGGGCACCACTGGAACCTGCAGGGGACTGAGTGTGGCAGGACCCAGCACTTCCTTCACATGATACCTTCTCACTGGGTGTTAGAAAACACACATTCTGTACTCAGTGTAATGGACAAGTTACATTTTTAAAACCAAAACCTAAGCACCAGCACCCTCAGTGAATTGGTTATTTCAGTCTCCTTCTGTAAGCATAAATCTTGCTGCTGCAGGTATTAGGCAAAGTGGTTTAAGGTGCACAGCAATTTTACAATTTTACAAGCAGACTGTTAAAAGATGCAGCTTAGTTAACCCAAAACTAACTATGGTAATTTCTGACATAGGCTAAAACCTATTTATGCAAAATAAATCTGGACCTAAACATGAAATATGGACACTGGTATTTGGTTAAAGTTTTAAACTGACAAACCACAAACTGATAATGATTTTTACTGTCCCAGACAATAGTGGAGGAGCAGCTGGTGCTGAAGAGAGTTGCAGATGTGGTGATTAATTTGTATGCAATGACTGCAGCCATTTCCCGGGCGAGCCGCTCCATCAGCATTGGGCTCAGGAACCATGACCACGAGGTGAGTATTCTTCATCACCCGCCATTCCCACTCAGGCTGTCCTCCTGGGAGCAGGCAGGCTGAATTTGTTGGGAATTACAGCAAACGCTCCCATTAAAGTGCAGCAGAACGTGGCTAAACCTGCCAGAGTGCAGAGTGCCTCTCAGGGGCTCTGCTTGTTGAGCTGCACATTCTCAACATGTTTAAAATACTTCTGTAACACATACAGCAACATTTAGAACCTCATCACAGTTCTGCATGTTGTCTCAAAGCTGTTAACACCATGCAGTTCCTCGCAAGCTCTTTCCATACAATAATAACACATAATCACAACAGTATTTGGGCAATACAGTTCAGGATAGGACAGTAGTTACTTAGTAGCTCAGGTAAAGTGTAGCAGTGATGTTACAGGATGAGCAAATTTGCTACAATTCAGTGTTAAAACAAATCCAATCTGATTAAGGTTTGGCTTTGGCCTTGAGTCTTTGCTTTGTGTGAGCCGTGTTCTGGATTGACTCCCAATCAGTCTTGGAGCCAGTTTTGGGTGAAGGTTCAGCCCAGCCCTGACCCTTAGCAGATTTGGGCTCAAAGGGACAGCTGAGGCTGCACTGCACGTGACTGGGCTGCAGGACTCCATTATCAAAGGGCTTTGAGAATTTTAAATTACTATATTTTTACTACGTGGTTTTGTTTATGAAATAAATTCACCATTTTTTAACTTAATTTTGCTTCTTTTTCCAGGTGCTTCTTACAAATATCTTCTGCACAGAAGCCTATTTCAGGAATAATTATGCCATGGCTCAATTAGAAAAATGTAAGTACTATAAAATAATTTTTACACTCTTCTCTCTTTCGCAGACTGTGATCAAAAGAAAGTGGGTTTGATGTGACCAACAGAAGAGTTTTGCTCTGCTTTTAATTCAAACAAGAGCTGGAATCTGTTGAAAAGAGTCTCTTAATTTCATAGCTAAAGCAAACTGCTAGGGCTCTTTTTTTGAGGAATATAAAATCTATCAGTAGTAAATACTCCTAACAAGTAACTGGTAGAAATTAGGGGTTTGGAGTCTCTGGGAAGTACTGACCCAGTTGGGCATTGGCTCTCTGAAATTCAGTCTGTAATAATAAGTCTTTTTCAGAAGAGAATGTTCAGTTTCTTCCTGGCACTCACACACCTGCATTTGTTCAAAACCACTCCTTATGGTACTTCAGTTGACTTTTCTCTGTTTCTCCGTAGATGCCGATGAAAACTTGGATGATTCCATTAAAAAGGCTGCAAAGCAGATCCTGGAGAAGAGGGCATACATCTGCTCCCACCCCCTGGACAGGACCTTCTGATGCCTCTCTAACAGCAGGTACTGATGAATGTAAATCAGGGAGGAATTCTCTGCAGTTCCAGTATTTGACACCTTAAAAACATCTGCTATTTAATGTCTTTACTAAATGTAACTGTATAAAATAAAACTTCTTTCTAACTACAACTTCATATGAAAAAGATAAATAAAGATATTTTATTTAAAGCTGAAGTTACTTTATTAGATGTATATATATGTCTGCTCCCCTTGGAGCTGGATAAAGATAGGTGAGGTTTGGACAGGGAGATGTTTCTTCCCAGGGAAGGGATTGTGTGATTTCCCAGTATCTTTGCACTTCAGTCAGCTGCTTATTCACTGGGCAAGTGCTGAAAGACTTGGGGAATCCTAACAGTTCTGTTTGGGGGGCACCTCCAGCTCTCTTGTCCAGCAGTGACAAGTTCGGTGGGAGAAATGCAGCACTCAATATGAATGGTCAGCAAGTCTCATTTATTGGTAACTCTAAAACCACTTATATAGTATCAATAATTAGGCTCATACATAGTGTAAAAGCAAGCTCATTATTGGATATTTCATTTAAGGTCGACTCCACCTAATTCCACATTCCTGTGATCGCTCATCTATGCTGAATTCACATTCTTCTGATCACAGCATCCTGTTCTCAGTTAACAGTTATCACTAAGGCCTTCCTGACTTTGCAACATCTCACACCAACTGTACTCCACTGTCTAATTCTCTCCCAGCTAACTGCTGCATGGGAACATGACCTTTGCTCTCTAGCCATTCCTCTATAATTCCCCTGTTTTCTTTTTGTACTAACAAAACTGTAGAAGTAGCCTTCTTTACCATGTTTTGCAAGCATTGCAGTATGCAAGGAATAAACAGTAACACAATCACAGTAATCAATATAACAACAATTGCCATTTGTGCCAAATTTTTTAACCATCCTTTGAGACCTAGGGATTGAAACCATTCCTCTAAAGGATTTGTTTCTATGGTTAATTTTTTCATATTGCTCTGTAGTTGTTGAAGACAAGCATAAATAGACATTGAATGATCAGAAAGATTCATGCAACACATCCCATCAAAATCCTCACAGCCATGGCCTTGTGCTAATAGCAAAAAATCAATAGCAGCTCTGTTCTGCAATACAGCATGCCTAACACTGTTCATATCCGAAAGCAAATCAGACAAAACCTTTGATGTAATATTAAACTGTTTTCCTGTCCAGCATGCCAGTCGTCGTAACTGTGTTAAGGCTTGAGCACTAGATACTCCAGGTGTAAAAATAGATGACACAATCACTGTAGGATGTTCCCAAAGTTCAACCTGATCTTTGCATTCTGGTCCCAATTGGAACACACTTCTCTTTTTTCGTAACCTGGTTCTATTGACTCCTAATAGTTGTTGTATAGTGGGTGCAAACAATGTCAATTTCCCAAAATAACAAGGCCCACCATAAAGGTTTGCTGGCAATCCTTGCCATGCACGATCTCCACAGATTAGAAAAATACCAGGTGGTAATTGTAGAGGTGTACTGCTAGAATTTACTTTACGAGACCAATTGCCACAGTATGCATCATTATTTTGCAAATATAGCAAATTTTGTGGAGAAACATATGTACCATTTGGCCCATGAGACTTTTTTGCATGATTGTTCCTAGCCCAATTGACAAAAGTTAAACAGTAATTGCTAGGGGCTGAACCTAACAGTCTTAACTCTTGTGGTTCTGACCCAGTAGCATTTAAACCTGTAGCAATATACCAATTTTGAGCACCAATGGGATTTGCTGGAATTAAACCTGTGTCACAGATATTGATTATGAATTTACCTGATGGAATTTCACATAATGTTTTGTTTGCTTCTTTGGGTGTTTTCCAATTCTTTGTCCAGTTTTTAAACATTATGGCATTGAATGAATCATCCAAAGGTGCGCCCACTAAACAAGTTCAAAAAGGATCTGAAGGGGTAGCCATTGAAAGGCAAAAATTATCCTGTCCAGTTTGATTATCCCACGTTACCCACGTATTTTGTCTCTCATCCATGTCAATCAAAAACCCTTAATTTCCCATTATCATGGTAAACCACAACAACAACCTGATCAGAGGTAATTCTTTAAGGACTTTAAAAGGATTGTGGCAGTTCAGCCAGCATCTTGGCTGGATCCCATGTGAGATCTTGCTTCCCTTTTCTTTTACCCCTCTGCCTCGCCCATCGATTCGGTTGCTTCGAACCACGGGGTGTTTCATCTTCTAGGCAGCAGGGATAACTTTCAGGGAAAGACCCTTTCTCTCGAGACTGCCGTTTTAAGAATTGCTCCCAATTTTTATTTTTTACCCCTGGGATATCACACCTGACTTGTGTAAGTGTCTTACGACAACGTATTGTGGTTATTTCAATAATAAACGTAAAGGGGTATTAGGATGATAACAATAATTTTCTGGATTTATCCCAAAAGCAAAAATCTCCCACCATCTATCAGATCCCTTTTCAAATTGTCCTGTTTGCACACCTTCCTGTAATGCAATCTCAGTCAAATTTCTTTCAAAGTTGTAACACTCTGTACAAATCCCTCTTGGGGATCGACCCTACTAAGAATGTATCCACCACTTTTCCTTACACACTTTACAAATGTAACATACGAAAGGATAACATTCACAATTTGGTATTGTACACAAAATTTTCATGTATGTTCATCAGATCCCATCTCTATGTTGATGACAGAGAGCGAGAAGTATCTGCTAAATTTTCTGGATCAGCTGAAGGTGAATCACTGGGATCAGCAGGTTTAGTCCATCAGCTCGGCACCCAGACAAGCCATTTGGGGGTAGACACACAAAGATAACCACGTCCTCAATAGAGTACCTTGCTAGGACTTCCCCACAGACCTGTTTTTGGATCTTTATAAACCAATCAGAAAAGAATGCCTTAGCATTTCTTTCTCCTAGACCCGCATCCCATTTGTGGCTACAAATATGGATAATAGCAAAGGCAGCAGCTCTCAACTTTACTGCTCTTTGAAGCCACAAAAACAGTTCATATAAATGAGGGTTTTTTACTTCCTTAATGTCTGCATTTTCAATACGTTCACTCACTCCTCCAACATATAAAGAATCAGTTACCACATTAACAGGACCCTTAAACTGCACTGAAACCCAAACAACAGCGACTAATTCCAGAGTTTGTAATGTATCCTCCTTTTGAGCTGGAATAATGTGATGATTCCATTGTCCTTCTGAATTTTGCCATGTAGCAGCAGCTGTGCGAGATTTTTTTCCAGCATCAGTAAACACCGGTGATGCCCCTGGTAACGGCACAAATGATCGTTTGGGCTTTTCAATCCAGTTCTGCTGGCCTATCCATCATAGTGGTATTCGAGGCACTTCCTCAGTACTGACCACACTGCTGTTGTCAAGCAATGCTTCTTGCAGTGTGGAGCTGTGAATTAAATACCAATCTAAAGTGTCCTTTTTTATTGGTATCTGAATTTCAGCTGGATCTGCACCCACAATTTGCCACAATCGCTTCCTCCCTTGTTTTATCAAATTTGCTAAAATTTCAATTTTTTGAATTAAGGTATGTCTCTGTTGTAGTGGTGGCAACAACCACTCTAATACCCATATCTCCCCCGTTTTCTTTTGTTGCTGCGTTAAGGCACCGATAAGATATTGAGGGCCAAACCATACAGTAAGATTAATGTCCAAGTCTGGATCTCGCCTATGAACAACACCTGTCTGGATACAGTCCATTATTTTATTGAGAGCTTCTTGTTGTTCACTGGTGACCTGTATAGGTGCTGTAGGATCAGTACCCTTTAACAAACGTCGTAAGGATTGTAAAAGTTCATTAGGAATACCTACAACAGGTTTAAACCATTGTAAATCTCCTAGCAATCGCTGAGCATCATGAACAGTATGAAGTGACATGTTCAATGACAGTTTCTGAGGGGCAACATACTGCTCAGTAGAAGTCCACTCATTTACATGGGGATGACTGCTGTATTTTCTCAGGTGCAACAACCAGTCCATTCTGAAGTAGTTGTGTTTGAATGTCTTTAACTTATTTATCTGCAAAAGGTTATCATCCATAAGCAAAAAGAATATCATCCATATAGTGATAAATAATAAATTATAGTTGTAGGCCATCGAGCACGTAGTGGCTGCAAAGCATTATCAACATAAAGCTGACACAAGGTAGGAGAATTATGCATACCCTGTGGTAAAACTGTCCATTCAAATCTCTTGTCTGGTTCTTCTCGATTTAATGAAGGCAAGGTAAAAGCAAATCTGCAAGTATCCTGTTCATGCAGTGAGACAGTGAAAAAACAGTCCTTTAAATCAATTATTAGCAAGGGCCAATCTTTTGGTAACATTGCAGGATTGGGCAAACCAGGTCGTAGCACCCCCGTTGGCTCCATTTGTTCATTTATTGCATGTAAATCATGCAGCAATCGATATTTCCCAGATTTCTTTTTAATAACAAAAATAGGAGTATTCCAAGGACTTGTGGACAACTTTAAATGTCCTTGTTGATATTGCTCCAGCACTAATTGATGAGCTTGTTGCAGACTTTCCCTTTTTAAAGACCACTGTTCAACCCATACTGGTTCCTGAATTATCCATTTAAGTGGGAGTGGGAAAGTCCAAACAATGGCCTCTCTTCTAAAGGGTGCTCATTGGTCAAAATAACACCAAGTTGTGACAAAATATCTCGTCCAATTAGACATTGAACCTTGTCTGGTAATGGAACAATTGACAAAACAGAACTGATAACCTTCCCATCTAATTGAACCTGGATTTGTGGAGACCTTTTCACCAAAGTTAAACCTCCCACCCCTGTAACAGTCACCATACTAGGCAACAAAGGCCATTCCTGAGGCCAATATCGTGGATCAACACTTGAGCCCGCCCCAGTATCCAATAGTCCTTCTAATTGGTGGGATTCTCCATTGTAATTGAGAACAACTGTTCGCTTGGGTCGAGTGTTTAAGTCCAGGGTAAGCAATGTAAGTCCTCCTATGGAACCAAATCCACTCATACCCCGTGATTGATTTTTCAATGGTGTCAATTGATGGGTATATTGTGGCAGCGGCACCAATTGTGCAATTCGCTGTCCTTTATCAATTCTAGTTGGTGGTGTCAGTGTATATGCCATGACATATATTTCACCAGAATAGTCCACATCAATTACTCCAGGTAAAATAAACAGTCCCATTAGACTAGCAGATGAACGCCCCAACACTATTGCACCCATAGCTTTTCCATTTATTATCACTGGTCCAATAATTCCCGTGGGAATCTTGTAGGGCTGGGATGTCAATAAATCCACAGTCACTGAGGCTGCCAGGTCCAGACCGAGGCTCCCTGCTGTGGCAGGCTGGAGGGAAGTTGCACTGATGTTCTAGCAGCTGCTATTTGTGTCCTGGCGCGGCGGCTTCTCGCGCTGACCTTCCCGTTTCCCGATCTCCGGCGGCAGGCATTATCAGTGTGGATATTGGACCGACACTGATTGCACCAAACAGATGGTACAGTACATTCCTTCCGAATATGTCCAAGGTTGTGACAGCGAAAACATTTGAATCGGGAGGCTGGAATCCTGCCATTGTTAGTTGTAGCCACTTGTAGGGGTGCAAGAGCTGCTAAAACCTGACTCTGAGTAGATGCAGCCTGCTTTTCTAGAGCTTCTAAAACCTGACTCTGAGTAGATGCAGCCTGCTTCTCTAACCCTTGCCCTAGTTCTTTAATTGCTTGGACTAACATTGCTTGTGACCCCACTGGTATATTAGACATTCTCTCTAATGCCTCCTCAATAGTCCAATTAGCACTTAGGGAATTTAAAACTGACTTAGTTGCTGGATTACAATTTTGTAAGGCACATTGTTTTAACAATGCTCCCCTCATATATTCAGGAACACCTGCCCGCTCTATAGCTGCAGCCGATTTATCAATAAATGCTCCAAATGGCTCATCTCGCCCCTGTTTAATACCCATATAAGATGGAATACCTCCTGGCTCCTTAATCCGATCAAATGCAGCTCGTGCCAACCGCATTCCTTCTCTCAACTTGTCTGGTCCCAAAATAGCTTGTGCCTCCACTTGACTATATGCTCCTAAGCCCATAAGTTCTTCCAAAGTTAATCCATGCAGTGGATCACCTGCCTGTCTTTGCACATTTACACTTTCTTGACAATAAGCTCGCCAGTGTGCATTAAACAACAACTGCTGATGCTTAGTAAGAATCAATTTCATAATACTCCTACAATCTGCAGGCAACAAAATCTGTGTACCCCACAAATAATCAATCATCTGTCTTACTGGTTCACTGGTCACTCCAAACTGACTGACTGTAGATCGCAACTGTGATAACCATTTCCAATCTAAAGCTGTAATTTGAGCTTGTATTCCTCCCCCTTTCATCGGTGCAAAGGTTACGGGACATACTACTTCCAATACAGCATCTGTCATTTCTTGATCTCCCTCTTGCAAAATATTTCGTGCTAACGCAAACCCATGTCTCCCTTCTTTCCCGTGCAACAGTCTCACCTAACTCATGTCCTACCCCAGGGACAGATTTATTTCCCATAGGGGAGGGTGGTAANCCCAAATGTCCCCCCACCCCCCAAATTCCATCCAAATTCCACCCCAAAACCCGGGAGACCACCCCCCAAAAAAACTGCGATCCCTCTCCAAAACCCCTCCAAAATCATAACTCCCTCCCCAAAAATCACCAAAAAAGCTGAGAACATAATTTTTTTATTTCACATTTTTCACACCTTAGGCAACGGGGGGGAGCCCCAGAATTCTCAGGATTTTTCCCATTTTTTTGGGGAGGGAGGTGTCCCAGCTTTTCCAGCCTGCCCCAGGTGACCCTTCCCCAAAATTCCTGCCCCTCAGGCCCCTCAAGTTAAGTGCAAATAAATAAAAAGAGTTAAAAAAGAACAAAAAGTGGGGGAAAAAAGGTAAAAATAAAAATAAAAAAAACCAGAATAAAAAGACCACCTACCCCAATTTGAGGGGAGAGGGACAGAGGAAAAATTCGAAGAGGGGGCAACCCCCCGAAAGAAACTGAGAGACTCCCTTAAAAAATTGGGGGACCCCCCCCCAGAAAAAGCTCACTTTGAAAAATGCCAAAACCACCAAAAATTGGCAAAAAAATGAAAAAAACACTGAAAAATTAGGGGGGGAACCCCCAAAAACTGTGTCAAAAATGGGGGAACTCCCCCTTGAATCCAAGGGATTTTTGGGAATATTTTTCCCAAAAGCAGCAGGTTTTTGGGGATGGCATGGCAGGAGAGACCCCCCCCAAATTCCTGGGGCTGTCTCCGAGATCCAGTGGAGGCAGCTGGTCCTGGAGTGGGACAAAAAGGGCATTTTAGGGAAATTAAGGTAATTCTGGGAGATGTGGGTGAATTGTAGGGAATTTTGGGATTTTTGGGGGGTCTGGGGGGGGTCTTGATTTTATGGGATCTTGTGTTCTGAGGCCACGGGATCATGTCCAGAGAGGCTACAGTTACCAGAAACCAGCATGGGACACCAATGAGACAGGGTTCTGCTCAGGAAATCATTTATTCAGCACAGGAACAAACTCAGATCCAGAGACAGAGAGCACTGAACAGAGGCAGGGTGATGGGTTTTGAGGAACAGAACCAGGGTGGAGTTCAAGGTCAGGGACCACTGGGAACACAGCAAGGGAGAAACCCCAGGGGCTCAAACGCAATCAGAACACCCTGGGTTGCCACCCCACGAGGGGTCCAGGGTGGAGTTTCTTCCTGGGCTCGCAGGGCCCATCCTCCAAGGCAGAGGGATGGAATTCCCTCTTGCCCACACCTCTCAGTTTAACAATGGTTACTTGAAACTAAATCTCTGCCTCCCTGGGCAAGGGCACCTCACACAAAAATCTCACTCAGAAATGGGCTCCCCCTCCATTCATCATCCCCAAACTTTGGGTGTCTCATTGCCGACCCCACCTCACCTCCCTAATCCCAACCCATCCCACCCCTGCTGGACATCACAAACCGCTTCCCAAGCCCTATTTCCCCCATTTCACACCTCCCAAACTCCATCCCACCCATCTTGCCCCACCCAATGCCCATCTCATCCCTCCTGATTTGCATCCCACTTTGCCCAATGCCCTTCCAACCGCATTCCACCTGATGCCTTCAGAACGCTGACCTAGAACAGAGGCTAGACTAAGAATAAAGTTTATTAAAAGGACTTTATAGGATAGACCTTGGGAAGTGCAAGAGACTGGCCAGGGCTATACCCAAGATGGACCAAAAATGGCCATAAAAATGGACAACTGATCATGAGGTCTCACATTTTTGTAAGTTTAGGTCCATCTGCATATTTGGGTTCGTGGTCCAATTACAGCGTCAGATGATAAAATCCCATCCTTCCCGTTTTCTCTCTTCAGTCCACCCTTGTTTATGCTTTTGGGCCTGAAACTTGTAATGACTGTCCTTGGTATCAAGCTAGAAAAGGAATTGTTTTGTCTACCTACTCTGTGAAGAGAGCCCCCAGGACTTTTCCGGGAGGGACCCCGAGCCTCGGTTCGCTCACCGCAGGGACAGACAACAACCTGCTGACTTGTGGATAAAGGTATGAATTAAATATCAAAGGAAGGGCTGCTGATAAACTGAACAGAGACGTCTGTCATACAGCACAGTCCCGGTGGGCTTGCAAGCAGCCGGCCAGGAGGGGCTGAAGACAGAAGGAAAGGGATTGATCCTGGCCGATAGCGCGGCCGATGAAGGGGGGTTCTCGCTGAGCTGATAGATCAGCCTGCTAGTGACTCTGGAGGTGAGTCGAGCGAACCCCTGTTTTGTGTGAATGGTAAGTCCAGACACGTTGAGTCACTGAGTGTGTTTGGTGTGTGAATGAGCGAGTGAGACGTACCAGAGGTGCGGAGTGAGTGTGGAGCTCTATCCACACTTCCAACCTCGGGCGACTGAAGTGGCCAGAGAAAAGTAAAGCGACTGGAGTCAGTGTGGAGCAAACTCAAGTGTAAATGAGGAGTGTTGTGCTTGAGTGTGAAGTGGTTAATATTTGTTTTAACTGTGGGTAGACGCTGGTATTGTTGCTTTAATAACAATCAGGGCATATGCTCCACGTGAAAGTGAAAACTCTGAGGTTTGTGTGTGAAAAGTCACATTGAGTGCCCACAAATTGTAATTGTGTGTGAGAAGAATACTGGGAAGAGACAGTGGAATTGTGTGAGGAAAAGTTTGTGTGGAAACAGGACAGGACAAGAAAGAGGAAATAATGGGTACTGGACAAAGTAAAGAAATCCCTAAAGCAAGTCCGCTAGGTTGTATTCTTGCACATTGGAAAGATATTGCTGAGAGCTGGAACTGAGAACAAGAGGGATTTAATCAGATTCTATAAAGACTGGTGGCCACTATATAAATTGGATGATGGAGCGAGTTGGCCACCTAGTGGGACTTTGGACTATAAAACACTATTGCAACTCATGCTCTTTCTCAGGAAGGAAGGTATCATATGCTGCTATGTTTTAATCCCTTCAGAATCACCCCAAATGGCAGAGGGACTGTGGGATCAGGGCTCCCTCTGACCCTCTTGTATTGACCCTGGAGAAGGAAAATAAGACTAAGAGGGGGAGGCTTAAGCTGTGTTGTTCAGCATGTAGCATAGGGCAAAGATGCACAAAACCAGATAAGGTTTATCAGGCTATTTATTTGGCCCAGGAACAAAATCTGACAGACGATTTGCTTAAGCCTCCCCACATAAGACCAATAAGGGATGAAGATGAGGATGTGGACTCAGAGGTTACAGACACCCCTCCGATTGCACACCAGACTAGACAACAGACACACATATTACAGGCACCTCTGCATGAGGCAGTGGCACCAGAGGGAGGAGTGGTATTGGTTGAAGTTCCCTTCTCCACAATCAATTTAGAGGCATGAAAAAAAGTTGCTAAAAATTACCACAATGATCCAGTTAACACAGCTAAATGTCTGCGATATATAATAAAACAACAAAATCCAGATTGGAGTGATATGCACTTATTATTAGATGCACTGACTGAGACAGAGAAACGACAAAGGATCTGGCAAAAGATTATAAAACCCAGCAATTGAATGTGAAAGATTATTTCCCACTCTAAAACCCACAGTGAGATCCAAACAGATTAGCAGAATTAAAAAATCTAGAAAGCTATCAGGAGTGGATTGCAAAGGGGATGGAAAGAGCCATCCCCAAAACTATAAATTGGTCAGCCTTATATGCAATCAAGCAGGGGCCCTTTGAGTCGCCATCCAAATTCCCTGAAAAATTAAGAGATGCCATGCATTGTCACATATCTCTGGACCCTGGGTCCGAAATAGGGATGCAGCAGTTAGTTAATTTATTCCTCGGGCAGTCTATGGGTGACATAAGACGTAAACTCCAAAAGCTTTGGGGGGCAGATGGGAGGGTTAATGGGACTAACTATGAAAAGGCAGTTCAAATTAGTGTTTCAGCTTCTCCTACAGACAAGCACTGGGAAGTTTGTGATCATTAACTAAATTGGATTGTTGGTATAATTTTACATTAGTACAAACAGTGGATGTAGTCTGCCTTTGGACTTGTGGTGATAAAGGGCTAACATTCAAATTTAAAATGAAAGCCGTGCCGATTGCAATGACCAAATCAACTGTATCCCAAGCTCAGGCCACACCACCTAAAAGTGAACCTAAGATTGAACACGAAATTGATGAATTTGGCCCATATGTAATAAGGAATACTGGACAACAACAGCTGTTATTTAACCCAGAGTGGTTTCTCAAGAGTATTGAAATAATAATGCAAACTAACATCTCTGAGATTCAGCCAGCCTGCTCCTCTTTCCTAAAGACATCATCTGAAGGCTGGGCAACATGGTTACAAAAGCAGGTACACTTCAGGGACAGAATAAGAAGAGACTTAACGGGAATATTAGGAACAGGGAGAGCATGCGCCAGATGATGAATGGGAAGTGGCTGTCTTAGTTTAGGGAAAATTTGGGAGATAAACTCCAAATGGGGGTTTCCCCAGGGAGGAAAAAAAATTCAAATGAACCCTCCTCACCCCCAACTGGTCCGGGAAAAAAAAAATCCTTGGAGAGAAGTGGAAAAAGCTGTTTATTTATCAGAAATTGAATAATATTAAATAATAAAACCTCTTGCTGTTCGATGGGATGGCAAATCTAGGAAGAAAAGTCCTTTTCATGTGGTGTAGCTCGGCTTGCTCAGGTTCTTATCAGTCCTTTCAGCACTGGAAAGTGCCAAGGCCCAGGCACCGGTGGGCCACAGGTGCGAGCTCCCGGCATTTGTTTGGGTGTTTTTCAGTTCAAAGCAGTTTGCACAGATCTAGGAAAAAAGGGAAAAAACAAAGGTCCAGGGAACTCCTCTGCCTCAGCTAGCTAAAACTAACTAACTAAAAGCCAGAGAGAAGTTCTGTCCCGCTGTCTGTCCATGCTGCAGACACCACAGTCCAGGATTGGGATGTGGGGGAGTGATGTTTTCCTTTAACACAAACTGTGGCTTCTTCTTCCCCCTGCTCTTGCTCTCAGAGCCATTCTTAAAGGTGCAGAACTTAATATATTACATAAACCAAACGATTGAGGATACCAGTATCATAAAATCACCTCAGGACAGTGGCAAACTGTGAATTTAGAATCTTGTGTTACCCAGGAACAACAAGGATTTATCTGTGAGGCTAACATGATTGATGCACAGGACATATGTTTAGACACTGATTAAAGCATCTGCCAATTTAAGATTCTTCCAGACACAAGTCATAAGAGTGTGCTTGTATATATTAGCCTAGGCTGTGTATGTCTAAGAACTGCATGTGTTTCTGTAGAAATAGCTGAAAACAATGTAACCTTGCCTATTAGGAACCATTCTAATTTTTGTATTTGTAATTTTTTTTAAGATTGTTGGATGTGATTTTTCATAACTGGTTGCATTCCACCAGTTGATAAGATCTAACTACACAATATACCATAATTATCACCTACACCCATTGGAATGAACCTGACATTGCTAAGACAGCTAATGAACCACCAAGACTTGGCAAAAATCCTGAAAGAGATTCAGGAAAATGGGCAAAAGACTGTGGTTACTGTCTATTATAGTGTAAAAGAGATAAAGTATTACAGAGGGTAAACCAAGACACAAATCATCACTAGTGGGATGTAATGCTTGGATGGTCACCAACTGCAACTGGGATTTTGAACACACTTTGCCACCCTCTCATTGTCATACTGGCATTAGTAGGTGTAAGTCTGGTGCTGTCGATTGCAATGCTTGTTTAGAACTAGAGTGTGTTAAAACGAATAGCAGTACTGACCTCCCGAGCAGCAGCATATGGTAATGCAATGAAGAATACATACCGAGGAGGGTAAACTACGAAAATAGACCAAAAAAGAGAAAGACATCAGTATTGCTAAATAAAAGAATTTACTACTTTTGTAGAAAAGGGGGGACTGAAACAGATAAAATAAGTATTAGGAATCATTTATAAAACTGACTTATGTAAAAGAAGAGGCTACAAAACCCATGTGATATGCTGACACGTCCCATAATAACAGGAAAAGAATAAAGACTGCAGGATTAGATAAGGAGCTGGAATAAGCAAACGGGATGCAAGTATAAATGCATATAACCCCCCATAGGATGAGGGGGTTCCTTGGATTTTTTTGGACCCCTAAGCCAGAAGAAATGGAAAGAAGGGGGGTCAAAAGAACTGAAGGGAGCATGCGCAAAAAGACGAGGTAAAGAGTTCAGCTGAAGGAAAAATGCTGACTTCAGCTCCAAAGACCCCCAGAAGACCACCAGAGTGACCAACAAAGAGCAGTGCGCAGCTGCAACTAGGTGTGAAACTAATTTTAATCCAAAGCGGGGACAGGTGGCGTTAACAAATGAATATGTATTAGGTGTACTGTGTAACCTTAGTTTGTAGTGATTCAAAAGGGAGAAACAAGTCTCCAAGGTGTGCATGCCTTTGGAGGATATATCCCCCATGCACCTCAGCGCTGAATAAATTCATACCTACTCTTATAACTACTCTGTGAGTTATAGAGTCCTTTCTATCCTCCTATCACAGTGAATGCAGCGTTTTCACAGATGTGCTGTGAAGATCTTGCAATGATATTTGGTTTCTTTAATTGTAGCTGACAAAGAGACAACAACCTGGTGTTAGCAGGAACTTGGCAGACGGCGAGGTGGCATTCCTTGGCAGCCCGTGTGGACTCACACCCCTGGGCATCTGAGAGCTAAGTCAAAGGCTGCGACCTGCAGAGGGGAATGAAAGCAGGGTGCAGGGTTGGGACTTGTGACCAGGGATTTTTGTATCACATTTAGACATGGTGAGGTCCAAGCTGTGGCCCCTTAGGGCACCTCAAGTGGAAGCCTCACTTTGACTCCCAAAGCTGAGGTGCACAGGACAGAGCAGTCCCAGGGTGTGTCATGTCACTTGTTTTTTGTGCCTTTTGTGTCTTTTGCACAACTCGTTACAGGAAATCTTGGCGTCACTCTTAGCATCTCCGATCTCTTTGTTCCTTGACCTGGCGCTGACACTGTCGAAGCTGTACCTCAGGAGTTCTCAGAGGCCTTGCAATCACATCTCTTTTTAAGCATCTGATCAGACGTATTTTGAGGTCTTGCTCTGAGCTCTTTCAACAGCCGTGCACAGCAAGGATCCATTGTAGCTGGTTAGGACTTGTCCAAATGCAAGGATAGGTAGAGAATTGTGGTCGAAGGATTCTCGGGCATCCATATTTGCACCTCTTGGAGTAAGTCATTATGTTAGCATTTTCTTTCTCCAGGGTTCTGTGAGCCTCTTCGGATCGCCATCATTCTCACCCGTGTTGTCTCGTTCCACATTCTTTCGGTCCTTGCAGCCATTCTACTGGCCGAGGGTTTTGTCTCCCTGTTGTGTCCCCTTGTCTGTTGTCTTGTGTGTCACCGGTGTCTGGGTGTATTTGGGTTGGAGCTGCTCTGCCCTGCTGCCTAGGCTGGCTGTAGGTGTAAAAGGACAAATCCTGGGTGGCTGTAATTAGTAATTTGTAATGTAGGATGCTGTTGGAGTCTAGATAGTATTCTTAGATTGACACAAGGTGTCAGGACCTGTCAAGTTATCCTGCAGCACTTTGGCTTTTGTCTTTCCTTTCTTTCAGATGGGGTTGAATTAAATCCACGAAGGTGACCCCCACTGTAGATTGCGGAGCTCAGGAGGAACTTCAATGCTTTTGGGGTGCTACCGTCTTTCATTGTTGCAGGGGCATCTCTTTTTGCAGGGATCTACACATGGAAAGTTCTCTAATAAAGCAGTGTGCTTCTGTCCGTGGCAGTTTGAGTTGTTCTGTGCCTTCTTTGGGATGAGGAGAAAAGGATAATGGGGGCATGTGGAGAATGGGGTGCTCTGATGTCAAGGTCCATGGGGGAGGGAGGCACATGCTGCAGTGGAGGAGTGAATGGGGAATCAGGAGGGATCGTGCTAGGTGCTCTTCCCCAGAGGGACCCCAAGCTACCAGGAAGTTCACAGAGAGAGCTGGATGTAGAATATAAGGAGCTGTTGAGTTTTCCTGGTTTTTTTAATAGGCATGGGAAGAAAATAGGAATTTATCTCCAAATTCCTTTGGAAAGAAACCCTTTCTCTGTCCCCGCTAGCGTTGTGATTTTGTTGTGTCAGTAAGAGAAATAGGTTTTGTTTTCACATGTATTAATTACACGTGATTTGGTGTATAAAATAAGTCTATGTATAAATTATGAGTTTTATACGTATAAATTTCATATAGATTAGTGTGTAATTAACACCTTATGTTTTTGCCATTGATGTGTTAGGTTAATTAATTTATTTAGTTTACAATATAATTGAAAGTAGAAACAAATACAAATTTAAAAAAGAATGAAAATAGAAAAATATAAAGAGGAAGATATAAATGGTAACATTGATGTATACGTAAGTAGAAAATATATAATGTAAATAGATATACAAATATAAAATATAACTAATATTTTGTATGTTATTGTCATCTATTTTTATCTTTATTGCATATAGCCATATATAATATACAAACAATAAAAATTGTAAGTCTAAATTTAAGTAAATTATTTAAATATAGTTTGAAATAAAGGCTTTGTTTTTTATTTGGATAGAGCCACGGCTTTTATATAAAATTTACAATAGACAAATATGTAATAACTATACAAAGATATATAAAGAAATAAATTAATATAAGTAATATACATATATACACATATATTCATATTTAATATATAATATGATTAATATCTGTACAGATCTTGTTATAAATATATTTTAAATATATTATTGTCCTGGGGTGAATTTATGATGCTTGTATCTCCAGTTATCATCTTGCTTATGTTACATATTAAGTTCTACACTTCTAAGACTGGCTCTGAGAGCGAAGGGGGAGGAAGAAGAAGCATTCACTTTGTATTGATAAAGAGCCCACACTCCTCCGCATCCTGCTCGTGGACTGTGTTGTCTGCAGCACAGACAGACAGCGGCACAGACCTCTCTTTTGCTTTTAGTCAGTTTTTAGCCAGCTGAGGCACAGTAGCTCCCTGGACTGTTTTTTTCCCCTTTTTCTTAGGTCTGTTCAAACCTACTCTAGACCGAAAACCCAGACAAACCCCCAGAGATCAGGCCTGTGGCCCACTGGCTTTACAGCACTGGAGGGACTGATAAGAACCTATGTGAGCCAGGCTACACCTCTTGAAAAAGACATTTTTCTGGATTTCCCATTTCCTTGAACAGTAAGAAGTTTTATTGTTCAATATTATTCAATTTCTGTTAAATAAACATTTTTTTCCCATTTTTCTCAAAAAAAAAATCTTTTTCCCAAGCCAGTTAGAAGAAGAGATGATTGAATTTGTTTTCTGGAAGGACTCCATTCAGAAGTTCTCTCCTAAATTTAACCTAAAAGAGGACAAATATATATTGTGTGTTTAACTTATATCAATGTAGTAATTAAATATAAATTTGTTAATAGTAGACATAAAAAAAAGTTTAATTACCATTTCAGGTACAGGGACTGTTTGGTGTTTATTTGGTTAGAGGTAGGGCTTTCAAGTAAATAATACAGAAATGAAAATATACAAATCTCTAATAAATATATAAACAAATCACTAATAAATATATATATAAATAAATATATAGTGATATAAATAAATAAATATAGACAAGTAGATTAATATTCAATATGAATAATATATGTATAGATGTTAATATGATATATTTAGTATATTATGTATTATACAATATATATGTGTATCACTGTAGAAAATAAATATGATAAGAAGGGTCATTAAAAACCATTTAAATACCATTTCCGTTAAAGGAGATTGTTGGTTTTTATTTAGTTTGGGGACGAGGTTGTTATGTTTCTGTCGGGAGTTTTTTGGGACACTCCTTTCATAGGAGTTTTTAGAGGGGAATTCCACACATATTTTTGCCTCGCTTCTCTGCCCCTGTCTGAAGTGCGGTGCAGCGCCCGGCTGAGTTCAGCGGCAGTGCTGCTACCATGTGGGCACAGAGCGGTACTGCTGCTGAGCTCCAAGCTGGTGTCCCGCCTCTCGCCGGTGAGTGACGGAGATGGGGCGGGGGTGACGGAGGCAGCAGTGGGAGTCGCCCAGTGGGGCCAGTTTGGGCAAGCGCCGGAGACAGAGAGCGGATGACTGGGATGGATACAGGGCTGTCCCTCTTTGCGTGCCCCTCTAAAGATGAAATTGGGGCTGTCACTGCTGTAGTGTCGGAGAGCTTATCTCAGTTCTTATGATTTGAAGAAAACTCTCGAGCTCGTTAGACTCTTGTTTCTCGTGTTTATTAAAAAGTCATCACAAAACTTGATAGATCTTTCCAGGCTGGCTACACAAGGTTATATCTTTGCAATCTGGTACATTTATTTCTTCTGAAGGTACAAACAAGGCCTTGTGGCTCACTTTGTGTCTCATGCACAAAATGGCCCTGAAATACACAGTTCTTTTATCTTTATACCTATTTTTACCCAATTAATAATAGACGCGTATATTATTTTTCTTAATGACCCAATGACCCATCACCTCTGTGCTGCACCGCGGCATTCTCTGTCCAATCACTTACTATCACCCAAAAACCTCTAGGAGAAGAACATGAAGAAGAAAGAAGAAGGACAAGAGACAACACCCTAAATCCTCCATCTTGTCTCCTATTCTCTAAACTAACTTTTTCACCCAGTGATTTAAGAAAACTTTCTAATCTATACACTTACACTTTTAGCTTTTTCCATCTAACTTTAACATTTGTTCTCATGTATCACCATGAAAACATGCTCATGAATTTCATATTATATTTCAGTGTTTTTCTGGATCTTATAACTAAGTATCAGAAACAAGGGCACACACTCTGTATCTCAGACTCCAACATTTGCCCCTCTCCTTAAAAAAAAATAATAAAAAAAATCAACCCAAACCTTTTCTTGGATTACCCTTCAAGAAGGGCCATCCTTCCTCCACTCATGCCCTATGCACCAACAAGAGAACTGCTGCTTTGTTCTACAGAGCGCCACACCTTCTGTCCTGAACATCAGTCAACTAACCACTCAAAGCTAGAGAAATAGATCCAGGCTGCCCACCCAACCAGCAGCCTAACCTGTCCAATTGCTCTAAAGCCCCTGCTGAAGCCACTTGAATTGAAAGCTGAGCTGTCATAAATCTCTCTCTGAAATTTCATGAGCTGTAACTTCTGTTTCTTCCCCTCACCTAAAAG